TTTAACACACAGCTTCAGGTCGACACTATTTGTGTTTACAGTTTATCGCGGGAGATTCGTATCATGAAGCCCTGCGATGAGTGAAAAAATGTCAAGTAGGAATAGTGCAATACAATACAATACAACTTTATTTATAAAACACTTTAAAACAACACCGTTGGCCAAAGTGCTGTAAACTAACACATACAAGTATAAAAACTATGAACTCAACAAATACCATAAAAGTAATGAACTACCAAATCATAAAACAGCAAACAGTAACAACAATAAAACAAACAACATAAAACAGTAAAGCCAACATTTCAAGCTGAGTTAAAAGCCAAAAAGAAAAAAAAAGAGTCTTCAGAGCAGATTTAAAAACAGGAAGTGAGTCAGCTCGTCTGACGTGCAAAGGCAGCTCGTTCCACAGTTTAGGGGCAGCGACTGAGAACGCTCCGTCACCTCTCAGCCTCCTGTTGGACTTTGGTATGGCCAACAGCAGCTGATCAGCTGACCTAAGACAGCATGAGGGAATGTACAGCTGGAGAAGGTCAGACAGATACTGTGGGGCGAGACCATGAAGACATTTAAATACAAACAAAATAACCTTAAAATTAATCCGGAAACAAACTGGGAGCCAGTGTAACAATTTTAATACAGGGGTGATGTGCTCTCGTTTTCTGGTGCCAGTTAAAAGATGAGCAGCAGCATTCTGAACCAGCTGAAGTTGAGTCAGTAATGACTGGCTCAGACCAATATTAAGTGAATTGCAATAGTCCAGATGAGTTGTAATGAAACATGGATTAAAATCTCAAAATGGTGTTGTGACAGGAATGGTTTCACCTTGGCCAGTTGTCTCAGGTGATAAAAGCTGGACTTGACCACAGATTTAATCTGAGCATCCAGTTTAAAATCATTGTCCAGCCTCACACCCAGGTTAGTTGCTATCTCAGTCAGATGTTTGGTTAAAGGACCCAGATCAACATGGACTTTAGAACCATCACTGGGCTTAAAACACAAGACCTCGGTCTTTTTCTCATTAAAGTGTAAAAAGTTCTGTAACATCCATGCTCTGACTTCTGCCATTCCAGGAGTTGGTTCAAGGAGTACTGTTTATCTTGTTTCAAAGGAACATAAATTTGGCTGTCATCGGCGTAAAAATGGAAAGAAATACCATGTTTCTGGAGAATATATCCCAGAGGTAGTAAATAAATGGGAAACAGAAGGGAGCCAAGTACAGATCCCTGAGTTACTCCACATATGAGAGGTGCTACAGAGGACTCCACAGAACCAAAGCGCACACAAAAGCTTCTCTCAGTTAAATAGGATCTAAACCACTGTAGAGCAGGACCCTGAATGCCCACCCAGTTCTCCAGACGAGACAGGAGGTTCTGATGGTCCACTGTGTCGAAGGCAGCAGTTAGGTCCAGCAGCATCAAAACTACACAGTGACCAGAGTCTGTGGCTAAGAGAATGTCGTTAAAAACTTTCAACAGTGCCGACTCAGTACCATGGTGAGTTTTAAAACCAGATTGAAATAGTTCAAGAAGGTTGTGGTCATTTAAGTAAGATGTTAACTGACGGTAAACTATTTTCTCCAAGAACTTCGACACAAAGGGCAGTTTAGAAATAGGCCTAAAATTAGACATGTCTGTAGAGTCAAGACCGGGTTTTTTAATCAGTGGTGTCACAACTGCATGTTTAAAACTCACAGGTACCTGTCCACTTGCCAAGCTACCATTTATAATTTGGGACACAAAAGGAGCCACCGTGTGAAAAACCTTTTTAAAAAGACGAAAAGACATATGACAGTTTAGGTCAGAATACTGTAGTGAACCTAACCTGATGTCAAACTAAGCCTAAGGTCAAAACACTTGACCTTAAGAACCTTGTGGGACAGAAACTGTTATTTCATTGATCTGCATCCAGAAATACAGTTTGACCCATCCTGAGACTTTCTTTCTTGAATTAATCAAGTAGAAATGACAATTCTCTATGATCATTACTATTTTACAAATGTTTTGATAATCAAATTGTGTTAGTTCAAACAACGTTTACAGGTTGAAGAGAACTACTCATTTTTATTTACATAAACAGTAAGTAATGATTTTTATTCCTCATTCAAAGAAGAAATCAGGGTAATAGGCATTTCTTGATTTTTCTGTCTTCAATGAGCAAATTTGTAAGTGTGTTAGAGTTCGAGTTTCGGTCAACTAAAAGTTTACTGAAAAGAAATGTCATGTTTAACTTTTACAGAAGATACAGGAGAGTTTGACTCCACGAAGTCTGGTTTTCTCCAATAATCTTTCTGTCTGTTTTAAACAAACTTAATCTCTATCCTTGAATTTTCATAACATCTTACATCACAAACCACACCTCTGTTCTGGTCCATCCACCAATTAGAAAGCTCTCAAATGAACCGGAAGTCGACCCATTTAAATGTGGCAACTTCCCAGTTCAACGCAGCTCTGATGCTCGGATGCAGCTCTGATACAGCTCGGGATAGAGAAGCTTCAGAGTTCTCTCAGGGATGAGATGTGACGAGTAGAGTTCTGAAGGAGTTCAGAATTCTTGCAATCCAGGATGCAGAGACGATTTTGGGAATTATAACTTCTGTTTGGATAACCTCGCACGACTCCTAAAAGTATTTTAGCTGTTCTCAACGGAGACGCTGAAAGAGTCAAAAGAAGGACTTCACGCCGACCTGACCTATCATCAACCAGGTAAAAGTTCTATTTCGACCAAGCGTACCGTGACCAAGCTGAGATCTGAAGGAGCGTGCACGTTTCTGGTCAAACAGATAAATTCCCTCACACATCTCTCTGTAAGATAAATCTCCATTTTCCATCTTCAAACTCTCCTTTCTCCTAAAATCCATCCATCCATCCATTATCTTTACCCGTTTATTCCAGTTTGGGTCACGGGGGTCGCTGGTGCCCATGTCCAGCAATCACTGTGCGAGGGGCGGGGTACACCCTGGACGGGTCGCAAGTCCATCACAGGGCCACATAGAGACAAACGAGACAAACAACCATTCACTCTCTCACTCACACCTAGGGACAATTTAGAGTTACCAATCAGCCTAACATGCATGTTTTTGGTCTGTGGGAGGAAACCGGAGCACCCGGAGAAAACCCACGCATGCACGGAGAGAACATGCAAACTCCACCCAGAAAGGCCCCTGGACCGGGGTTTGAACCAGGGACCTGCTCGCTGAGAGGCAGCAGCTCTACCAGTTGCGCCACCGTGCTGCCCTTCTCCTAAAATCATTACAGATATTTTAGAAATGTCTGAAGCAAAGTTCTCAATCACCGCCGTGTGATTGATGTCTGCTGTTCTGCTGAAAGTGAGGATAATCTCCGTATTGTCCCACTTCCTGTGAAACTAGCCATGTTATTGTTTTCATATTTTGCCAAATTAATGTAAATGTTTGATGTTAAACTTTGATTCTGCAAATAAATGACCGCATTCATTTTGATGGGTCAAAGATAAATAACGTCTCTCGTTACATTTCTGTTAAATTCAATGCACGACATTTACACAGTCAGAAAAATGAAGAACCCGTCTTAAATGTATGAATATATCCTGCATATGTCATACTACAATACTATCATTTTAAAGCCACAGTACTATAGTTTGTTTCTTATCTGGCAACCCGACTGACATGGAGACTACAATGTTTCCATTCAAACCAGCTAATTTTTTGTTTATTACTCCCCAATAAACACTGAAAAAACATTAATGTTTCCAGAGGTAGTTCTCGTGTAAACGGGGTCTTACAGTAGGTAGATCACTTTGACTTGATCTTTTGTTTTCATTCAACCTTTATTTATACAGGTTAGTCCCATTGAGCCTCAGGGACTCATTTACAAGAGAGACCTGAATAACCAATATTTTAACCAATATTATAAAAGGAGCTTGCTTGCTGAAAAAGTGTGGGCACCCCTGTATTATACCAGTCAATTCAATAATGCACAGATGCTATTTAACTTTGTGTTGTTGTATTTTGATCTTCTTGATGTATGTGTGTTTGTGTTTGAAGGTTGCCACAGTTCCATCGGCGCAGTCACTGCATCTGGTGGATTTCAGCTTTAGCGACTTTGACCTATCGGACACTGAAACCACACTTGCTACCATACGCATGTTTGTTGACCTCAATCTGATCCAGAACTTTCAGATGAAGTACACGGTAAGGGCTGAATGGATTGTTAACACCTAAATGTGTCTTTTTATAAAACTCGTGAAATGTTCTCAGCCTGTTTGTGTGCTCTTAATGCAGGTGTACTGCTTGATTGAAGCGCAAAGAAAGCACAACATAATCTGCTTTTGTTTTCAGGCCAACAGAGTAAATTATCACAACATCTTAAGAGCTAAATGCCTGATTTGAAAAGAACTGCAGTTTTACATCTTTTGTTTTAAAACAACTGTATTCAAGAAATGTGTGGGTCTACAGCCCTAAAGGTCCAGGCCTAACCACACCAATAAGAATACAGTAATGAAACAATACAACTGGTCCAGTTTCACTTATTTTTATTTTAAAATGTAGTCCAGTAGGTTACCTAGCCCTGCCCTAGTGGGCAGCACTCAGATTCACAGATTCACAGAAGAGTCTGGAGGTAAGGAAATTTCTGTGTTGTCAGTTATTCCTGTGTTGCAGCAATGTGTCTTGGAAATAATATTATACCATTGGTAAGCTGGTTTAATTCATTTATTAATGGTGCCACATTTATTAGGATAATTCCTTTATGGGTTGAGCAGCAGAGTTGAATATGTGGGTTGTGCCCATAAGAAACATCTGTCAAAGTCCAACAACTTTTTTGTGCGATTGACTCTTTAGTGTTTTTATTGGATGGGATAAGTCAAGTTTGAACAAACATGATAAATTGGCAATTTAACAATTTATTTATTTAATACTCTGGGGCCTCAGTAGCATGTGGAAGAACCATATACAGTCACAACAACCTGGCTCTTCGTCCTCATGCTGCTCATCAGCTTGGTCACATAACGCTGTAGGATGACATCCTGTTCTTTAACCAACATTTGTTGCAAGTCAGCCAGTATGCCTGTTCTGGAACAAGCAGCATGCCCAGGCTAATCCCACAGGTGTTTAATTCATTCAACCTTTATTTATACAGGTTAGTCTTACTGAGTCACAAGGAGTCATTTTTTAAACAAAGAACACAGATGAGGTGCAGACAACAATGGGAGAAATCGTGGGAGAAGAGAAGACGGCAGGTGGATTTTCACTTACAACACTATATTGTTTATATCGCTATAGTCTCATCTTATGTCGCAAATGAAATTATCTCTATATTTTTAAAATATCGAGATATTGCCCAGCCCTACTTGCAAAGTTCTAAACTCTTAAACCTATGTAATTTTAACAGCATACGTATATGTAATGTACATTAATGCAAAATTTTACTCATCAGCTCTGCAGAATACAGCGGCTCGGTTCCAATTTGGCAGACCTACCCTGCCGGTTCTGGTCCGGTTCTGGTCTGGTTCTGGTCCGGCTCTGGTCCGGTTCTGGTCTGGTTCGGGTCCGGTTCTGGTCAACCCTCTCAAGATGGGGGAAATCCCGGTGGCCTCTGGAGGGCACACTGGACCTCCGGGCAGGCGCCCCCCTGCTCGGAAGGCCTCGTGGGCCAGCAGGTAGCACTCAGATTCAGTGATGAGTCTGGAGGTCTGGTTCTGGTGGGCTCTCTGCAGCCCTTGAGCATCAAAATGCTTTTAGAGAGAACTAAACCTTCGGATGACCAGCACGAGACCACACAGTGGTCCCGATCGAGTCCAAATCTTGATGTGAGAAGTCCCTGTGGACTTCGGAGAGAACGCCAGACATCCGGACGACACCTCCCACTCGGAAGGCCTTGTGGGATGGCGGGCAGCCCTCAGATTCACTGATGAGTCTGGAGGTCTGGTTCTGTTTGGCGCTTTGCAGCTCTTGAACACCAAAACACTTTTGGAGGGAGCCGGACCTTTGGATGGCCAGCACGAGACCGCACGGTGGTTGAGATCGAGTCCAAATCCAGATTGTGGAAGTCCCGGTGGACTCTGGAGAGAACACCGGACCTCCAGGTGACGCCTCCCATCTCGGAAGGCCTCATTGGTCAGCGAGCAGCACTCAGGTTCACAGAAGAGTCTGGAGGTCCGGTTCCAGGTCAGTTCCATGCGGCTCTTGGCATCCACTGACGCAATATATATTGCCCATAATTAACATATACTACACAGGTTGTGGGACAGGTTATTCCACAGGTAGTGACATTGAGATCGAATTATGATGGTAAGGTAGATACATAGATGCTGTATCATACATGATATAGCCTAGTACGTATCAGCATAGATACAGCCTACATAGTCCAACAGCAATAAATAATAAACATACTAGCAGTAACAAGCTAATATTAATATTAATCATATTAGTTGTCACAGATGTGACTTGGTGCAATGTTATTGTCAGTTCAGTGTTATTTATCGAGAGTGTGGTAATCTGACAGTTGTTGATTAAGACCCTGAAATCAATACAGGGGCGCAAACTCTTGTCTTTTTTCTTTACAAAGAAGATGCCTGTCCCCCAGTGGGAATGTAGAAAGATGAATGATTCCTGAGGCTACAGCTTTCTCAATATATTTAGGCCCGAGCAGCTAAGCGCTGCGAAGGCCTATTGTAATCGCTCTGTTCAGGCCCGAGTTGCAATTTTTTTAGGCCCGAGCAGCGAAGCGCTACGAAGGCCTATTGTAATCGCTCTGTTCAGGCCCGAGCTGCAATTTTTTTACATATCCCAAAAGTCACCAAATTTGGCGGATGCATCAGGACTGGTGAAAAATTATGTATTTTAAGGGTGTGGCAAAAATAGCAACAGAAACAGCTCAAGAGCGCCACCTAGATATTTTCAAAATACCCTACGCATTAACCTTAGTTTTTCGTAGAAACATGAAATTTGGTACACTTGTCCAATTACCCAAGATGCACAGAAAACCCTCAGGCACCAACGTTGTCCGATAAACAGGAAAGTGGCCATTTTGGAATGCCGGCCCAATTTTCATACCTTTTTGGCGGTTTACAGCCTCCGCATTTAAATGAACTCCTCCTCGGGATTTCGCTCAACCAGTTTCAAACTTGGCCATTTTGGTCAAAAGGCATAGGGGACACAAATTTATCAAAACGGTTCGTTTCGGAGCATGCTGAAGGGGCGGGGCCAGACCTGAAATTTATGCTTCACGCCATAAAATTTCCAAACACTATAACTTTCACGTTGAAAGACCAAAATGCACCAAACTTGGCATGACTCATCCCTGTGGGATACCCGACGATCCACTGTCGTCATATTTTGACGTCATCAAAGCTCCACCCCCTCAAAACAGGAAGTCTATTTATCTCAGTGATATATCTTTCGATCTGCACCAGATTTTTGGTGCGTCACTAGTGAGCACTTATGGACACATTGGTATTGTTTTTTAACTTTTGACTCTAGTGCGCCCCTACATTATTCTAACTGTTATATCTCAGTGAAATATCATCCAATCTGTACAAGATTTATTATGCATGATTAGTGAGTACTGATAGACACATTGGAATTGTTTTTTAACATTTGACTCAAGTGCGCCCCCTACAATATTCCAACAGTTATAGCTCAGTTTTACATTTTCCGATTGGGACCACATTTTTGGTGCATAATCGTTGCGCACGTCTAGACACATTGATGTCGTGGTTTAACATATGACTCAAGTGTGCCCCCTAGATTATTTAATCAGTTATATCTCTGTGAAATATCATCCAATAGGTACCAGATTTATTGTGGATGATCAGTTAGCACTTCTAGACACATTGGTAGTGTTCTTCAACATTTTACTCCATTGCGCCCCCTACATTATTCAAACAGTAATACCTCAGTTATGTATCATCCGATCTGTACCAGATTTATTGTCCATGATCAGTGAATCATTCTGCACACATTGGGATTGCTGTTTAACATTTGACTCCTGAGCACCCCCTAGAATATACTACAAGTTATATCTTAGTGATGTATCATCTGATCTAAACCAAATTTATGGTGCGTCATTAGTGAGCACTTCTAGATACATTGGTATGGTTGTTTAACGTTTGACTCTATGCGCCCCCTAGATTATTCCAACAGTTATATCTCAGTGAAATATCATCCAATATGTTCCAGATTTATTGTGTGTGATCAGTGAGCACTTATGGACACATTGGTATTGTTGTTTAACATTTGACTCAAGTGTGCCCCCTACATTATTCCGACAGTTATATCTCAGTGAATTATCATCCGATCGGAACCAGATTTTTGGTGCATAATCGTTGAGCACGTCTAAACACATTGATATTGTTGTTTAACATATGACTCAAGTGTGCACCCTCTCATACTGATATGGGCGGAAGGCGATTGCAAAGTTTAGGCATATGCGCACCCTGGTGGACGCGCGCGGGAATGGCATGAGAGCATTCACAATTGAAACTGGGATGCTTTGCAGGAGCGCCCGCGGTCGTGGCTGATGTCGAAGGTTCGGCGAATGCGCACTCCGGTGAAAGGGCGTGGGACGAGAGTGTGGGCATTCGCGATGGTAACTGGACAGAGTTGCTGGAGCTCCCGCGGTCTCCGTAAGGCCGTAGTGGCGCTTTGCTGCGAGGGCCTTCAATGCTGCTTGCAGCTTTAATTACTCATTGTTTCTTTCAGGGCCAGATAATTTATATAACTGGCTGAAAGAAAGTAGAGCTCCAGGTACGAGATCAATAGCGCAGTCGGAGACAGTGGGGATGCAAAGAGAGAGCCTCCTGTTTATTGAAAGCTGAGGCCAAATCATGAAATATGAATGGGACCTTGGAGAGGTCAGTCTTAAGTCTGTACCAAGTCTCTAGGTTAACTAGAAACCACAGAATGAAGATACTCGGCTAAACACTAACACAGGGATGTTCAACAAAACTGCTCAGGGGGCCACAGTTTCTGAAAGCCAACAGCTCGGGGACTGGACATCCAGTGATTAAAATCATTATGTAAATAAATCAAAGTTTACAATGATCTGTTACCTTTTAAATTAGTTAATTTTATTGCATTGAATAACAAATGCAATAAACAGAACCCAGACCCCCCCACACAATTTTTTTTATTTTTATTTTTTAATGAAGTGGGCCAGATTGAAGTCGTCTGCAGGCCACCAGTTGAATAGC